AATTTGTTCAACCCAAATCATTTCACCACGCGCCACCCTTGCCCGACCGGCTCCCATCGCAAAAGGTGAAGCGATGACGAGATTTTTTGGAATGATCAAGAATTGGGGTTTGGGTATTATCCAATGGGTTTGCAGTGGTCGTCGTTTAGTTGTTATTTGTGAAGCTCTTGCTCTCAGGCCAGCCGGTGTCGACAGAACCGATGGACATCTCCGCTGTGGTTACCGGGCGGTGTCGAGGGTTTTGCAAGAACAAGTCCAGAGTAAATAAAGAGAAATGAGTGGTCAACTAAGGGAGTTTGTTTTAATTTTCAAAGGAATATTTTGGATTAATTAATTTTAGGAGAAAAACACAATAGCAGATGTGTGAGGGGAGGATCAATCACATCCTTGAAGTAGACGATTAACTAACAGAATGGCAGAGGGAATGGGCAAAGGCTGAGACGTTGCAGAGCTTGAAATATTCACCCATGGCGGGGAAGGGGCAATTTTAAACAAGTATCAATTCGATCATAAAAGTGTTTAGCAACCAAATCACTTGAACGCCGGCGCCGGCGCCGCCGCAGCTGTGGAATGACCCACCGGAGGCACCGCGTGGATCTTACGGGGACGGTTGATTTCTTGTTTTTGAAATATTGGTGGGATGATTGAATCTTGAAAGATCTAATTTCTGTGGTTTTGAATTGAATACTCTTGAGAGTACAAGTACTTACTGGTTTATAATAAACACTGATGTGTGGTTGTTTTGTTTGTAAAGCCCAGAGAATCAAAAATCAAAAGATCAAGACAAAGCCACAAGGTTGTTTGTTCTGTCTTCGTGTTGGCAACCTCCTTTGTCTGACTCACTGAGCAATGACAGCATCAAAATTAAGTGCAGCCTGCCTAGTTTATGCTGCAAATTCTATCTTATCTTTTCACTCTCTTGCTCGTTTATACATCTGACATGCTCATGGGGAGCCTTAATTTTTGGCAAAAACCTTGTATTCTTGCTCTTACTAATTCCTTCCTCTTATAATTTTTCATTTATAGGACATTTCTCTTATTATGACGCTTGTGGATTCTACTGATATAGGTAAGTTAAGAGCATGACTCTGATACCATGCTAAGAACCACGAAACTCAACATAAGCTTTCATAGTTTTATTTTTTGTTTTCTCAAAATGTCTTGTACCGATAGAGATACTTATAAACTCGTAATCTTCCCTTTAATTAATCTCAACATCATGAACTTATCTTCTAATTCTTCTAGATTTGATAAGAAAGTTGAGAATCCGAAGAGGCTAAAGCCATGGGTTGGGTTCAATTATTGTGGCAATCAAAGGGCAGTGTTGAATAAAAGCAAAGTTTGTTTGTTTCTAGGACGTGAAGCAATGCATCTAATTAGAGATCAGTTTCCATCAATTACGTGTAAAGCTAAGTTTTTATTTAAACACATAAGTTAATCTGAATGGGGTTTTGGGTTTATTTCTAAACTAATCAACTTTAGTCCATACCCATCAAATCAAGTGAGAAGATTAGTTTTGCCATCTTTATATCGCCATTTTCATACAACCCTTTATTATATTCATAGATTCTTCACCTCTTTTTCCATCATTATTTGTCGCCTTTATATCGCTATGTTCACACAACTCTTCCAAAGCCCAATGAAAAAAAATATAGAAATAAATGGAAGAATAAAGAGTGTAAGATGGAGTCCATATTGGTAGTTGTTTAAGAGATTCTCTCTTTAGAAAGGACAGTTTTGTATGTGAGGATAATAATGGACTTGCTTTGCATGCAAAAAAGTTCATACTCCTTCGCCCACTCCAACGCTTTAATGCATCTTTTCTCTAATCTAAAGCGCCAAAAGGAGCTTCCTGTTGCCCAAAATGCTAGCTAAACACTAAAGACATCTACTTGGACGCTTCTATTTTTCCTACCATTTAGTCCAGCATTGTTGTCAGCTTCACAGTTTTAAAACATGTTTTCTAGGAAGTGGTTTTCACACTCTTATAACATAACAAATGCTTTCTTCCCCTCTACAACCAATATAGATCTTGGGTAAGTGCCTGCATCTGATGCCATATATAAGAGCTTAAGTCCACTGCTAAAAGATATTGTTTGCTTTAGGATTTTAAAATGGGTTTGCTAGGGAGAGGTTTCCACACGCGTATAAAGAATGCTTTGTTTCTCTCTCCAACAAATATAAGATATCTCACTGGAACGAGTCGTGTTTCACACCTATACACTTTAAAACAAACTAAATTTTAACCCACTTTGTTGATATCCTTAAAAGCATACAACTTCAACTCATATCATCTTTTCTACTTTTTCCTGTATTTTCCCCCTTTAGTTAAAGGCTTAAAGATCCCCTTCTCTCCACTTTACAGACCACGACATCAGTCTGTTATCTTAAAATTACCCTTTAAAAAAAAAAAAAAATGTTTGTATCATTTTCCGTTTGAGCTGATAAACATCAATGTACAATTTACATTATTTGATGAAAAAGCCATATTGGAAGCTTTAAAATGGGTGGATGGATGGATGGATGAAGTTGGAGTACAGTGAAGTACGGTGGCAACATGCGTCGTGGTGGGGAAGCTTAGATGGGACTAATGATGCTTCTCACCTGCCCCACACCATGATGTTAACCCACAAAAGGAATTCTAGTAGCAAATTCATGGCTGTTTGTTACATCTATAAATGGTGAGTTTGTGATCAAATCATGGGGTATTCAAGAAAAGAAACCCCAAATATGATCGAGATCATTTTGTTTTTCTTATTTTGTTATAAATGGAATGCATATATTACAAACAAAAACAAAACCCTTTAGGCAATTCAATCAGATCAAGCATGAAGTTTGTCGAAGCTGGTGAATGAGTCCATTCCAAACATGTCCTGGAATGGTAGGGCCATTCATTACCCGAGACCTGGTAAATAAATTTGAACACAAATATTGTAAAAAAGAAAAGCGGCATCATTTCCAATGAAGATAAGAATATATGTATTTATTTTGAAGGTGGTGGTGGAATGAAATGGTTTGGAGTCAGGTATTTGGGAAGTGTACAACGAAAAAGAAGAAGTGGCGCATAAGAAAGAAAAGTAGATACAAAGTGGAAGAAGGGGAAGTCACAGCAGCTGAGCAGAAAGTAAATAAAAACAGCTTTATAGGGAATAAGGGAGGAGGATTGGATGATTGAACCCAACCAAATTGAATTGGTTTAGATGCATGGTCTAACAGAGAAAAACAAGAAACAAAACAAAGTAAGAACATGAGAGACAAGAAAAGGCCAAACCCATGAGGTTGTTGGGATAGGATAGCCAAACCCTCTTCCACGTCCTATCTCATAACCCTATCTCTCTCGTTAAGGGTCCACCATTTTATACTATTTGTAATAGTTCAAGCCCACCGCTACCAAATACTAGTTCACAATCAACTTTCCTTAGGGGATTCAAATACTAGTTCACAATCAACTTCCCTTGGAAGATTCAAAATCTTCGCTAGCACACCAAATACCATTTGTAACAAATACTAGCTTACCATCTATTTTACAGTACACCTCCTTGGAAGCTGAGTGTCACAGTCCTACATTTTTTACAATGCGGCATCATGATCTTGAGATGCTCACGACCAACCTTAGCGGGAAGTAGCCTATCTTTGCCTCTCTTATCTATTTGATGTCTCTATCTTGCTTATGTCTCAACCGTGTGGTGTGTTAGATGATGCACCGTTTTTCTTGATCGGATCATGACACTTGTTTAAGCCCTCGCGTGGCCGGATGGGCGCCACTTGAGGGTCACCGCTTTTCTTGTTGGAACGTGAGGGTCACAACCTACTCTCTTCATAGTTAGGTTGTGACATTCTCCCCCACTTAAACTAGTAATCGTCCTCGATGACATACTTGGGGGTACAACCATTATTGGGTTGTTGCACTTAGCATCCTCGCTAGCAAGCTGTCCAATGTTTGGATCTAATACCATTTGTAATAGTCTAAACTCACTATTAGCAAATATTGTTCATTTTGGCTCTTTATGTCGGTCAGCCTCACCGTTTTACAATGCGTCTGGTAGGGAAAGGTTTTCATGCCCTTAAAGAAATATTTAGTTCCACTCTTCGACTAAAAAGGGATTTCACAGACATTTAGAGAAGACTTATATGAATTGACAATCCAACTTAGCTCTACCTTGCTCTTAAGAAGATAATATTTAACGTTTATAACCGATGTTAGTTATATATTGTGAAATCAATGTTCGTTATATGTCGTGAGTTGTAAATGTATGACATTTGAATTTTATGAGATTGTATATTGAGTATGTTTTTTTTTAAATAATCAAATTTGACAATCCAATCTCACCTAGAGTTTCAAATTGTTTTATTATTAGAGGTATGACTAGAAATGGAAGTGGGAGTAGAACATAAAATAATGATATGAACATAGCATAGAATGGTTTGAGCATATTCACCTTCCAGTTTGTCATCACTTTCTAAGGCATCATTACGCAGAAGTTCATCCATTTTATTTTTTTATTATTACTTTCATGTTTCAAAAATTCGGGCCTACAGAGTCCGTTCGGAAAGTTGGGCCTAGCTCTTCCTCCTCCGGGCCTAAGGAGCACATTAGGAAAGCCGGTTTGGAAAGTTGGGCCTAACTTTTCCTCCTCCGGGCCTACGGAGCGCATTCGGAAAGCCCGTTCGGAAAATTGGGCCTAGCTTCTTCTCCTACGGAGCCCATTCGGAAAGCCGGTTTGGAATGTTGGGCCTAGATTTTCCTCCTCCGAGCCGACGGAACCCATTTGGAACTTGGGCCTAGCTTTTCCTTCTCCGGGCTTACAGAGCCTGTTCGGAAAGTTGAGCCTAGCTTTTCCTCCTCCATGGCAGGGCTTCATGCTGGGCCGAATTTGAGGAGTCCAAAATTCGTGCCTTCAAAGCCCGTATCATAAATTGGGCCCAGCCGTGAGAATACGATACGTGTATGGGATCAGAAACCAAGTCCCGAAGGGGCGTCTAATAAACTTGACGAAGCTTTGCCAAAATTTTCAGCAGTCGCGTATTGGTCAGACTAGCTATCGACTTCCTCTCTACCATCTTTCCTCTTCTTCTTCTTCCCTCCCTCTTTCTCTCTCTGGTAATTCATCGACTCCATGGCTCTACCTCAGAGTCAGTACCAACAACAGTATCAACCGCAGCACCAACAGCAACAGCATCATCAATCTATATCGTTTCGGTAATTCTTATTCACCACAATGTAAAACCAGAAATTTTGTTTTCTTTAAAACCCTAGCGATCGCCCCTCCTTCACAGAGCTTCGATTGTTTTCTGCCTTATTTTAATTTTTCATTCAATCTCTAATTACAGGAACTTGTACACTGCCGATGGTCATTCTTCTCAACCAATTTCCTATTTCAACCCCTTGAATTTGCAGGATCATTCCCAGCATCCTCCCTATGTTCCTCCATGTAAGTTTGCTTTTACTTCCTTTGTTTCTTTCCTTTTATTGTGTACTTTTCTGATTCCTGTCAGCTCTTAGTTTTCCTGGAAATTTGGGTTTGGGCGGATTTCAAAGCAGTAATCGTTTTTTGTTAGTTTGTTCTTATAAGGGTTAATAACTTAATAGAGATTGTTGAAGACTTCAGATTTAATTTTCGTTTCTTTCACTGAACGCTTCAGCTCATTATTTGTGTCAGGACCAGCCTCATGGGATTTAATTTTGGACTAACATTTTGTTGTTTTTCGTCATTCTAGTTCATGTAGTCGGGTTTGCACCAGATACAGCCCCTGCTACGGACGCCAGTGATGGCGCAGCAGATTTTCACTGGATGTATGGCTTAGAAGGCAAGAAGAAAAGATTGAAGGAACAAGATCTTTTTGAAAACAATTCCCAAATATCATCCATTGACTTCTTGCAACCGCGTCCTGTTTCAACAGGACTGGGCTTATCGCTTGACAACACCAGAATGGCTTCCACAGGAGACTCGCCTTTGGTCTCTCTTATAGGCGATGACATTGATCATGAATTACAGCGGCAGGATGAAGATATTGAGAAGTTCCTCAAAATTCAGGTCCGGATTAGCATACTGTTCTAACAATTGTCTATCTATCTTTCAAGCTGCTTCGAACAAGCGTCTTGTCATGTTTTTTTTTTTTTTTTTTTTTTTTTTTTTTTTTTTTTTTTTTTTTTTTTT